CACTATGCACATTGTGCATACTATTCATATTGTGTGCTATGCTAGTAAGTGACTCTGTCGACTGTATGTACTGTATGTATAACTCATATTCTGTTGCTGTGTCTTTATGCGAAAATGTTTAAAGAGGAATCTCCGATAGCGCGAATAAGAGTGCCTGCGACTTCAAATTAGCGCCCGTATACTACACGGGTGACTATCGCAACCTAATTGTCATGATTATTATGAAAAAGAAGATAGAAAAAAAAGAAAAACGTTCAATTACTTGAAACCAAAATTGTGCAACTTATTTAATCATTAAATTTTAATATTAAAGTAATACATACATTCTGAAATAAATCACACAACTCTTGAGAATATTCATTTGGTGTAGCCGAAAACATCATGATTTGTTTTTTTTTGGGAAGTTTGACGTGAAATGTTTTCTATTTCGATCATGATGTCTGTTTTCTGTTTGAAAGAGAGAGAGAGAGAGAGAGAGAGGAAGAAAGAAAATTAAGAAATCTAATTAAATTTCCTATCAAATCAAACTTGAAGGGCAGTTTATCATCATGTTTATCTGTAAAAATATGGTTTGTTCATGATTTAAATTACCTAAGCAATTCAGCATTTCGTCACATTCATCTAGAATGAAATATTTCAAATGTTCAAAGTCGAATTTGTTGATGAGTCTCGAAATACATTCGGGTGTGCCAACAACGATTCGTTTTCCCGATTTCACATTGATTCCTGATAACATCTCATCGCAAAATACGCTGACTTTATCTGGCATATGTTTCGAGACATTTTTATATTTAATTAAATCGCTCTTTTGGCAAAGGACCAGTGCAAAAATATGATCTTCTGTTGTTTGCAATTCCGACAAACAAGCAAGAGCAACTACGCCAGTTTTTCCCATTCCTGGAAGAAAACGATAAAACAAGATTCATTAAAGCACGCACAACAATATCAAAAAAAGAAACACCTAACCTGGTTTCGTTCGGAACCACACGTTTCTCCCTACAAAAGCATATTGAATGCAATTCATTAAATCTGAAAAAATGAGGGGAAAATACACAGAATTTAAAATGATTAAAACCCAAATTTTTTCTCAATATAATGCATAAAATAAGGTTACCGACACTGAAATTTTTCATCAAATCTTGATAAATAACGAAAGATTTTTTCTTGTAATTTGTTTACCTTCTGATGCGGCTCTAAAACCCAAACGTGATATTAATTCAAGAGTTTCTGAATCCAATGATTTTGGATGATCGCTTCCAACCAGAATGGAGACAAGATCATTATTGTCTTCAATTGTGTTATGGGATTGTGCTTTTTTGTCGTGCGTTTTGACTGCAGTGTCACATGCAATATCCGATACGCTTTTTACAACTTCGCCAATATTTTGAGCTTTGTCTAGCTCATCATTATTCTCAACAACGCCACCGCCGCTATGAACTGTGACACTTGTTTGGTCGTCTGTTTTTGTGATTGTGATTTCAGCCGATTTCGATTCTTCAACTGCAAAATTAAATTTTTTTTTTATCTAACATTTAATTTGATTATTGATTTAAAATATAAAATATAAAATACAACAAAATGATCTTTCTCGAAAAACTCATTGTATTCGCTAACGCACGTCGTACTGCATAAGCGCTTCGCATTTCAAAAATACATGTGCGCTCATTTGCTACACAAAAAAAACGTATAGCGAAATTAAAAACAACAACACTACCACTACCACCACCAACAACAAAAACAAAAACAATAATACACAATTTGTTGTACACATAAACTGGTGAATAAACCAATACATACTTATACCATTTCTGAGTGTTCCGTGTATTTATGCATACATGGAGTAAAGTATGATGATTTTACTCACCAGTCTATGTGTGTGTACTCGTTGTCTTTGTGCCGTATGGGTCATGTCGTTGTCTCGTTGTCGTCCTACAAAAAATTTCCGCTTTGAAATTTGTCACTTTGTATCACACATACATACACATGCCCAAACTTATACACGCACACGGACATGATGTATACATAATCGAAAAGTTGTTTTTGTCAAACACAACCGATTTGGTTGGTGCGCCGGCGATTAACAATACATACACACATATACTTTAAATGTGAAGCAATAAAAAAAATGAAAATCGAAAACTTTGCTTGCGAAATAAATATTTTTCTTTTTTTGGGTGAAACTGCTGCTGCTGTCTAACAATGAATGAGAAATACATGCAAAATACCTTTTGTGGTAACCACTGGTGCTGCTGCTGTTGCTGCCGCGGCTGTACCATTCTCGTTATCCATTTTGGACTCGGTTTTCTTCTTCAAAATGTTCAATGCTTGTCGATTGACAATTATTCGAAAGATTAATTTTTTTCTTTCGATTTCTTTTTCTACGGAATGGATTTACCGGTTCTGATGTGCGTTGACGACCGACTTTTCCGAATTAGATTAATGCGACACACACAATTTTTTTTCCCGTCTATAAAACGCCGCCACAAACGTCGTCTTCTTCTTCTACGCTCTTCGCACAATTCCACCACGTTTCTTTACCACCAATCGATTAAATTGCCTTTTACGATGCAAATATGATTTCTTTTTATGAATTTTGACGATTGCTTTGTTTTTTTTTTCTCTGCTCCCGTTTTGCAGTTGTTGCCGCTGTAGTTGTCGTCAAAATGAAGTTCAGTGCGGTTCACAGTATGTAATGAATGTAGAAGCGGCATCGATCTTACACTGTTTTTGCTGCTTCGAAGGGCAATCGCACTTTGAACACTGCAGTTGTGCTGCTCTCTGACATTTATAAGTTCAACCCTATGTAAAGACATTGCTTTCCTCTTCTTCTTCATTTACAAGAAGCATGTGTGTTATAGCAGCTTAACTTTGAGATACCAGGTGGCAGCATATTTGCGTGTTCGAAACCAAATACATTGCTTTAAATGGAGTGCGAGCAGAGCGTGTGCTGCTTATACGACTGCATACTGAGTACACCAAGAGTAAGCGAGAGAGAATGATTCTCTCCATATTCTCTAGATGTTTATACTAACAAATACTGTCACGCGATGCGAGCACATTTTCTAATACATATAAATGCATATCGTTGGATTTGGTTGACACATATACACCGCGCCACACGAAAAATGTCAGAATTGTTAGTATAAACAGCTTCCATCACTTTGAAACTACAATCGCACCA